CACAAATTGGCACCGTGTAAACCGGGAACACGCTCAGGGCGACCATCTGTGGTGTCTGTGTGTCTATGTCTAACAATGGCCACCACAATGGCAGCGGGGCAGCCTCGACTGGGTCTCGACTATGCGATTGCGCTCTGTTGTTGTGTGGAGGGAGCTTTGCTTAGTTACTTAGTTGGAACCCATCTGGCTGGCAATGGCAACTCAGGGGGATCGACACACACACTAAGTTGTTCTCCCTCTCTTTCTCTCTCTCTCTCTCTCTCTCTCGCTCTCTGTCTGTTGCATTGCATAAGAGAAATATTTGTGCAATTTGATTTCGCAGAATTGCGAATTCGCTGGAATGAATTCCCGATGCCGCCCGCTCGCTGCCTCCCTCTTCCCGCCACGCCCCCTGCAGCCCACCTCTTGGCCCTGCCATGCGGCTTATGCGCATTATGATTATGATGATACCAACTACTTTGTTGTTGCTATTATTGTTGTTGCTGTTGTTGTTGGCTCGTTGTCTGTGTGTTGTTTTCGCCTTGTTTGCTGGTTTGTTAGCCGCTCGCTGCGATTATTGTTGAAATTCTATGCAGTCAGCGAAGTCATGACCACAGCGGCGGGCAATAGAAAACTGAGGGAAATTCAGCGGAAAACTTATGCGGCGTGCGCGCCAACGTTTGTGCCACGACTCCAGCTCCAGCTCCAGCTCCAACTGCAACTTCAACTCCAGCAACTGCACTCCACTCTTTCAAGCCTAAGCCGAGATCAACATGGCCAGATTGTGTTTGCAATCATTACAGCCGGCGATGATTGCCAACGACCACGACTGGCCCACTGTGGATCAACGGCGTTTGCGTGGCCTGTGTTGGTGGGTGCCGATTTGTATTTGATTGGGTGGCATACAATTTGTACAAAATGTGTGCCCCTGCCCCTGCCCCTGCCCCGGCTCCAGCAACTGCCACTGCCAGCCACGGCCGCTCTCTTCTCTTAGTCAGCTTGGTTCATCCAGCTGCAGCAAATGTTTTTGAAGCGCAATACAAAGAGCCAAAAAGTCATTAGCAAATGTGAACGCAGAAACATTTAAAATTACATTATGACAAATAAATTTTGTAGGCCATTCGTTTTACACCCTCGTAACAGCGAGCGGACGCAGAAATACTTATATATGTATATATATTTATGTGTATAAAATGCGTTTGCTGTAATTTAAATGCAAGTGTAGGACACTCAAGGTCTGAGCGACAATTTGGCCCAAATGGTAAGGTGAGGGGCCCACGAAATGAAATGGAAAACGTGTACAAAAAACCGAACCCAAAACCGAAAACTAAAAAACTGACCAGGGCCGGGCCCGGCCCGGGACCAGGCCAAGTCGAGTCGGGCCTGCGCTAGCGGCTAGCAAAATGAGGCGCTTATCTAAATCTTCATAGTTGGCTAAACGCGGCTGGACTGTTACTCCTTGGCTTGGCTCTGTTCCTTTGGCTTGTTTCGTTTTTAATTGCAGCGCCGAAACGTGAGCGAAATGTAACCAAAAATGCAATTGCCTGCACAGTTTCATTCTCTTATGTTGTTGTTGTTGTTGTTGCTGCTGGTGCTGCTGCTGTATTTTTTGGTCATTCGTGCAGCATTCCTTTGCCTGAGCGCGCCTACCACAGCCGCCCCCCTCCCCCCGTCGCCGGACGATGAGCGCGTGAACATAGCTAGCAGGTCTTGTCATCGAAACATGTAATTATGCCACTTTGCGTCAGCTTTGCAACCAAACTCATTTACAATATGCGTAGCAACATGCTGCCAGCCTCATGTTGCGCTGGCTGCAGAATGTTGCTGGGCGCATAATTGTCGCCTCACGTGCGATAGCCGCATTTTGTGCGGCCAAAAACGCTGTCATTCGCAATGCACAACATGACAATTAAATGGGCGACTGAACCCTGGCGACATGCAACAACACAAAATCTGCCAATTGCAACTAGCAACTGGCAACTGGCAACTTGCAACTTGCATTCTTGACAATGGCCTTAATTAGGGCTGTTATGAGCCATAAAACCAAACGCGACTCTCACGCGATATGCATCGCCAGCCCAGAGCCCAAAGCCCAGAGCCTATAACTCTAACTAACTCAAACATAGTTAATACAGTATTTGATGGACCCATTCACTCTCCCACTCCCAGCCACTCTCCCAATCTATGTCTCTGTGTATCGTAAAACCCTTCTTCTCAAAAATTGCCAACTCAATTACATGGCTGAATGCACAGCAAATTGCCAAATCAAGAAAATAGCTGAAGAAAATAAATAGCCAAGGCAAAACGCATAAATCCAGAGACAAGCAAATTCTACAGCCATGTGGGTGGCTGTCTCCCTGCTTAGCTCCTAGCTCCATAACTGTCCCGCTGCCCGGCTGTCCGGCTGTCCAGCTGTCCGGCAGCGAGTGTCCAGCTTTCGGTTTAGCGATAAACAAACATAAAACTTGACGTTATTCGTTCGTTGTCGCACAGTTCAACTGGCACAATACTTATTTATTTAGCTACACTTGCCAGATATGCCAGCCACGCCCACGCCCCTGGCAAGACAACGTCCGTAACGCAATTGAAAAGTAAATGTAGCTAAGCTAGATTTTTTTCTCTTCTTCCTTTTTCCGCTGCCATCAAGTGGCAAAAATTGTGTTTTATTGACCGGGATTAGTGCAGAAATATGGTAAGGGATGCGCTCTCTTGGCCAGCTATGATAAAGGACACCGCCTGATGGCCAAAGGGTTGACCGTTGGCAATTTATTTACACGTGCCTCGGCTTCGGGCCGGGATTTGCCTGCATTTGATTCGATTTGATGCGATTTTTTACGGCGCCTCGTAAACTCTCGCACTCGCACTCAAAATCAATTTCGAGTATGCCAAATGCCAGCTCTACGGCTAAGCTGGCTTAGCTTGGCCAAGCTAGCCCAGCTAGCCAAGCTGGCCAAGCTGTAAGCTGCAATTAAGGCAGCAGATTTATGCGGCCCACCTACGGCGCTGTGGCAGCTATCGCTGCCAGTCAGCCGGTTGTCCGTCGGTGGGGAGGGGCGTGGCACGCAGCTCATTTCTCATTAAATATATTGGCTAACAATTAAAATAGCATTTAGATGGAAATCGTAGCGTGCAAATTAATAACAATTTATTGGCGCACTTCTAACAGATTCGTATACCCATTAGAAGTGCAGTGGGTAGGGTATACGATTTATATATCTGTTTGCTTATGTAATTATAGACAAAGATAACCTGAGAGATCCTCAGTTATCATTTATATAATTATTCAGCTTAGCTAGTAAATATTAGAATCTATTGATTCTTTCTCTGCGCGATATCTGCTTCTGTTAACTATCTTTTCATCTGTCTATGCGTCTAGTCATATGTATATTTGTATGTATGTCTATATATTTTTATGGCCTTTAAATAGTAGCAATCTCACTCCTCGCCTGCCCACAGCAGCTGAAATTTCAGTATATTTTATCTGTCTTCAAAGCACGATTAGCATATATACATCAAAAATTCATATTTTTTAGCCATATCAAATGAAACCATATACGAATATGAGTATTGATATGCATATTTTGTACATATTTTAATATATGTTTTATGCCTATATAATATCTATTTATCTATATCTATATATATATATCTGTTTATCTATACAAATGTATGTAAGTCCATTTTTAAATTCATAAGAGTTTTTGACTGGCATTGCTCATCAAGAATTTCTTTCTTTCGAGAGCTCGGTATAAGCTTATATTTATTTATACATAAATATAAAATGATATATACAAAAAAAAAAAAAAAAAAAAAAGCTCTCATATTTTGAGCAAGTCTTAATGCCATTCACAACTAAATACATATGTTTAATACAATTTTATATAATTATAATATTTATGTTTAACTTTTCTTAAACATATTTTAATATTTTAAAATATTTCACTTTAGTAATAAATATTCAAAACATTGAAAAAATTACAATTATAATAGAACCTCATTCTATTATCTGTAGGTGAAGATTATTGTTGAATGAATATGTATATAAAATTTATATTCTTCTAAAATATATTAGAAATTAAAAGTATATATTTTTTAGATTTTTGAGAACAATTTGTTATCCAAAATACTTGACTTTTGGACCCAAAGCTTACAAAAAATGCTCAAATAAGACTTTATATTTATGAATAAATCTATAAGACTATATAACATTCTCGTATTTATATATAAATCTACAGGACTATGGAGCAACGCATATGTCTTTAAAACTTTGAGGAAAGAAATAGAAATTCGAAGAGTGAAACATATATTTTATTTGTATTTACATTTTATAAACGTATATATCAAATATCAATTAGTTTAATATATATAATTATCTAATAATATATACATAAGCAAAGGTATGTATAAATATAAGTAATATGCACACATGCATTTAAATAATTCCATATGAATATAAAAGTAATTTCAAATGCCCTCAAAATATATATGTTTGTATATATGTCCCGGCGCTTCGTTTCGGGGTAGCTGTTTTTATGGCACACAGTCGAACTGTAGATTTTTCGCACGCTGGCCGCAAGCGTAAAGCGGATCAATTGCCCAAAAGATCAATTGCCAATTGACAAACAACAAAGCAAACAAAACAAAAACGGGGGAAAAAGAATGAGCAGAGCAGAGAGCAGAGGCAATTGCAACTGGGAATCGCAACCACTTGAAAGCGGCTCAGTTCATTAGCCAATCAGGCGTTAAATCGCTGTACAAATCAAAGCGAGCCACAATTGCAGCATTCCATTTCCACTCTCTCACTCTCGCTCACTCACTCACTCTCTCACTCACTCTCTCTCTTACTCCCTGCGCCTCTCCCTGCTTTGGCTGTCAGTCAAGCGCATAACGAGAAATTCGTTAATCCGCTAGGCGCAGCAGGGCTTAGGATGAAATCGGGACACAGTCAACATTCCTAAGCTGGTTTTTGTGGCGGGGCTCATTTAATTACATTTCTGTGTTTGCTTTCGCTCACGCTCTCTGTATGTATGTGTGTGTGTGTGTGTGTGTGTGTGTGTGTGTGTGTGTGTGTGCGTGTGTGTGCGTGTGTGTGCGTGTGTGCTGCATTTGGATGCACCTTGCACCTTTATTTTATTTTATTTTTTTGGCGGCTTCTTGGCCGCGTGGCACGCGCTGCATTTTTATTGCTTCATCAGCATCAGGAGCTGTGGCAGCGGCAGCGGCAGAGGCAGGAGCCGGGTGCAGCGGCAACCTTCGAGCAGGTGCAATCCCGTGCGAGCCAAATTGCAACTGAAATTTGTAATTCATGTTTCCGCAGCGTGCCAACATATAACAACAACAACAACAACACCAAAAACAACAACCACAAATATGAAGAGGCCGTAACTAATATAAAACAATAAAAGGGAAAGCGAAGGGAAACGAATTTCTTATACACTAACCAAAATTACATATTCACTTAGTTAAATAAATCATTAAAATTGATGTGTAATTGTATTGTCAAAATAAAACACAATTTTTATTTGAACATGGAAAAGTTTTTGTAGTATGGTTTAATTTGTATTTTTTTTTTTTTTTAATATGTATATATATATTNATATAAATTGCTTTGACAAATCTAATAATAATACAAATTAATAAGTATAACCCACAAAAAATATATATATATATTTATTACTTTAAAAGGAAAATAAAACAATATGTATGCAACAACTTTTGTAAAAAAAAACTTGTTTAATCTAAAAAATTTGAATTCAAAAATATAAATAAATAAAGAATAATAATAACTTCATTGAAAAAAATAAAAATAAAAAATAAACAAATATTATGGATGAAGATTAAATTAATTAAGTTAATCTATATCCATAAAATTTGTTTAATTTTTTTAATTTGAAAATTTTAAAGAATTTTTCCCATTGAGCATATTGAATTCAGCTACTAAAGTAGTTACTGATTGTAGACAGAGCGACATTTAAGTACGTTACATATTAAGGTCAGAGAGAACTTTTACATAATTTGTTTAATAGCAAGTCTATGAAATTGGAACTTAATTTAAATTAATTTGGCTTTACATATGAGTTCAGCTTATAATTGTTAGATTATTATACATTTTTATCAAGATATATTGAAAATAATATGGTATTTGGATTTATACAAGATCATTCTACTGCTGTATAGATAAATATGTACAAATAGCTCTCACAAATTATACCAATAAAACTGTTGAAGTGAGAGTTTTACACATCATAAAATCAATAATTCATCTCATATGTACGATATCATTTGAAAACGTTTAAAATCGTAAAACTGCAAAACTTCAAATGCATTTTAATTATAGATCATAGATTGAGATCACATAGAGATTCCTTAATGATTCCTTATCAAAAATTTTATATTAATAAAAATCAGCAATAGGATATTAGATCCTAAGATCAGGCGTAAAACAGAATTGATCATAATGAGTTTTGGAAATTTGTATATAAACTGATACCATATATCTTATGTCCATAAATTTGATTAATAAATTATATGTATTCATTTACTAGCAGTAAAGCATTATTATATTATATGAATTATTTATTATATGAATTTCCATCTTAATCGGAATCGAAATCTCATATATTTTTGAAATATTTCTTCTCTTCTCTCTCAGACGATAAACTATTATGACTCATTGTTAGTGTATTGAGAGATGTTTTCACACCATCATTAACAAGGCAGGACTCTGTGCAATCTGTGCTGCGGCCAGGCAAACAGCAGCCGATACAGTGAAGCCATAGCAGGAGCCGAAATCGGAATCGGAGCCAGTCCATAGACAAGCTGTTGCATAGTCGACGACGCTGATTGGCCAAAAGGCGGAGCCAACACGAAAGCGAGTTGTTGTTGCGCATAAATTATGGCACTAAGCTAGCGACTGGGATTGGTGCAACGCAGCTACTGCAACAGCAGCAACAGCAGCAGCAGCAGCAGCAACAACAACAGCAACAGCAGCAGCAGTGAGTGCAGCATCCCACAAGACAAGATCTGTGGAGACCAAAAAATCAGGTTTTACCTTGGCCAGGCCAAGCAGCCAAACACTGAGCCAGCATTTTGAACTAGCGCTCAAATTAGTTGGTTCGCTTTGCGGCTGACATGTTTATTACAACAAAAAGGCAGACGGAGAGACAGCCGGAGAGACGGACGAGCACACTGAGACTGAGCAGACATAAATCGCAATGTTCGTCAAGATCGATTCGGTTCGTGTACAATAGAAATTCAATTAAAATTGACATTTTTTTTGCCGATGAACTTATGCAAATGCGCTGCAATCACGAGTCCATCGCGCTGGCCTCTCGTCTAGCATATTTATGGCCAAAAAACAGAAATTTATTATATTTTATAATGTAACAAATGGCACGACGCGTCGTCCCGGGCATTAGGGATATAAGTCTGCATAAGGCTGTACGTGAGTGGCTCCAGCTACGGCTGTGGCTCTGGCTCTGGCTTTGAGTGCATTCAACTCTTGCATCGATAAGGAAAGCAATTTGTTAGCGAAAGGAAATCCCAACAAAGTATGTGAAAATAATAACAGGCAGGCCAGCCAAACATAACAAAAACAACATTCAACTAAACCAGAAAACAACAACAACGACAACAACGGCAACGGCAACGGCAGCAGCAGCAACAAAATGTTGGCAACGTTTAAAGTAGCCTAAAGCAGCTTGATTAATTTTATGAGCGATCAGCCGTTAAGTTCAGCGCACATGAAATTTTCGCGATATTAATCTAGCATTAAGCATACGCCCCGTAGCCGCGCCACCCCCCACACACCACGCCTATACCTCGTACTGGCCGTTGCCAGGCCTGTGCGAAAGGTAAATACTCATTAGCGAACTCCTTTTTTGTTTTTGCTTGTATTTTTTGTTTTTTGGTTCTTTGGTTTTTTATCATATTTTCACAACTTTGGCGCTGGCGGCACTCACTTCAGCGCTTGATCTTGATGCAATTAATAAAATACAACAAAAAAATTACCAAAAACTAAAAAGAATGAAGGTGGTAACTAATGGATTGTAGACGACGTGCGAAGACCCTTCCTTCATGTGTTGTGCATAGCAAATTCAGGTCGGGCAGTTTTTGGTACTTACTTTCAGCTTAGTTAATCTCTTCTTAAAGTCTTAGAGGAGCTTTGGCTTGAAAGATTTACTTAAAAGTCGTATACCAAAGTTCGATTTGAAGTTGGTATGAATTGGGCGATAGTTGAGATTTGGGAATGCCAGAAAGCTATACAGGAAATATTTGAAAATTCTAGGTAGTTGTTTAATACATTATTTCTATGACTAATATATAAATATTTTTATATATCTATGTATATATATTTGGATAATTTTCCTCTTCTCTTTTTTAGATCAGTTATTCTTTCTCATCTCTCCCTCTATCTTTCTCTCTCTCTCTCTTTCTCTCTCTCAATATGTCTCTCTAGCAGCTTATCCGTTTCGTTAATTCTCTCGCTCTCTCTATATTTCTCTCTATCATCCTTTCATTCTCTATATCTCTCTCTCTCCCTTTGCCTCTATCCCACTGTCTCTCCTTCTCTCACTCTATCTCGCACTCTCGATCTCTCTCTGTCCCTTTCTCTCTCCGTATCTAAATCTCTCTATAAATATGTGTCGATCTCTCTTTGTCTAGCTTTATCTATCTATCTTTGAATCGCTTTCTCTCTCGCTCTCTATTCTGTATGTCTATCTCTGGATATGTCCAACACTCTCTCCCCTTGGCATTCTTATTCTTACAATATGTACCTCTCTATTCAGCATTCCCTTTTCTTACATTCTCTGTATTTCTTTCTCAAATAAGCTTAGTGTCCTCTCTTTCCCTGTCATTCTTTTCCTCTCTCCCTCTCTCTCTCTCCCACTCTGTCTATATTTCAGATAGAGATCTTGCTGTTCCTCTCTTCTAAGCGTAGCTAATTACAGATCCTATCCACCAATATTGATATATTCACATAGTTATTCATATACATTTACATAAATACCTTTTACATGTGTAACACTCAATCGAGTATACCCGTTTTGGCAGCGCATATCAGTATATCGGGCATTGCATGACTTGGCACGCATCTCCGGAAGCAATTGGCGAGCCAAGTGTGGCCAGGAGTAAGGGTGAAATATATTTTGGGCTAAGGCAGCGCTTAACTACGGTAAGGCAACTGATCAGCTGCAGCGATTATGATTTTATGGCACACACACACACACACAAACATTTTGGCCACTGGCCATGCCCATTTCGATAGCCGCCCACCCCATTGGCCAGACCACACAGCTGGGCCGTTCATCACACTGACAGCTACTCGTCGGCGGGTCGTGGAATCTGCCTTGTAAATTGACAGGCGCAATTGAATGCGAAGCCACAAAATTGGATAATTTCCCATTGACAATCGACAATACGTTGGCTCCCTTATCCAAATTGACTGCAGCTTGATAAATGCGTTGCGCAAAACGTTTCCCAGGAGCCGGAGCCGGAGACGGAGCACTTGCCTTTGCTCGCCAAGACAATGCCAGACTCGAATGCATTGTCAAGCGCGGCGATATGCAAAATAAATTTCACTTCCGAAATCCTTTTTGCGAGGATGAGGAGGAGGAGCAGGAGCAGCAGCAGTAGGAGCAGGAGGAGCAGCAGCAGCAGGCCCCAAACTGGCTCAGAGTTGGCCTCGTCTGGCACTGCGGTTGTTCGGCCGCTTGTTTTACATATGTCCCGCACCTTGGCCGATCGCCCGCACCAGTTAGCAGCAGCCGCAGCCCTCCACACTGAACCCAATAAAAGGGCTAAGAAAAAAGGGGCCAAAACAGAAAAAAAGGGCAGTAGCTGAAGGGGCCATTGTCGTAAATCGCGCAGCCAAGGCGCATCCATTTGAATTGATTGCATATTGAGTACAGATTTTTTGGTGGCTCGTCAATGCACGGCACGGTGGGTGAAGACCACCGAAAATGTTGCAATTAATTGTTGCACAATGCGCTTTGCTGGCTATTTAGTTGTCGTTCGCATTATGGCAGCAGCCGCTGGGCGCAAACAGTAGCCAAAGAGATTTCGCTCTTGGCTTGGCTTGTCTCGCATCAGGCCAGCTTTGATTTGCATATATTTTCGGTTTTAATTAGTTAACAAGCTGCTTTCGTTTGTTGTTGTTGTTGCGATTGCATGTTGAACCACGACGCATATCGTAGATGCTACAGGTATCTACAGTCGGAGCCAGACTCGAAGTCGCAGTTGCTACCAGCAACAGTTGCTGTTGTTGCATGCAGCAGCTGAAGCCAGTCCTCGKCCTCCACAGTCAAGAGCACAGCGAACAGCGAACAGCGAACGTATAAAATCAAACACGATTTTTAGCAGTTTTCAATTCCCGGAAATCTTGTACGATATGTTGCACCAACTGCGACTGGGCTATGGCTCGGCTGTGGATTGTTTTGTGGCCGAGAAGAGCTCCAGATACGATTCCAGTATCGTGCAAATGTTTCATTATTTAACAGATTTCAACACACACACACAGAGAGAGAGCGAGAGAGAGAGAGAGAGAGAGCGAGAGAGAGATAGATAGAGACAGTTGGATCTTATTGGGCATCGAAGGGCTGCTGGGAATGCGAGTGTGAAATAAGGTGACAAGACAAACTTCAGCTCGCGAAAAAATACCAACAAAAATTCCAAGATGTTGTCATCAATTAAAGTGGCAGCAGATGCAGTCGCCGAGTCGCCCGAGTCGCCCGAGTCACCGAGTCACACCTGAGCACTTTATTAGCGCAGCCAGAGCTATAGAGATGCGGCGGTGCGAGCAATTGCTGCGTGAATTATGGTTCACCTATGGCCTAGTGCTAAGGCAAATGGCGCGCTCGATAAGGAGCAATAAATCAACAGAGACCAAGAGAGATAGAGAGAGAGGGGGAGGGAGAGAGAGAGAGAGAGAGCGAGGAAGAGGGAGAGCGAATGTAGGTGGAAATCAAGCTTAGGCGGGCCAACTTAGCCAACTTGGCCAATTCGGCTGAAAAGACAGCGAGACAAACTTATTTGCATTTGGCTGGTTGTCAGGCCAAGTTGTTGTCAGCGTATCTTGTTAAGGCTTGAACTTTATGCCTGCTGCTGCTGCTGCTGCTGCTGCTGCTGCCTCTTGTTTGGGCTTATTGTTTTAGCCAGCATTTCGTTTGTTTTAGTGGCTGCAATTCCAGGAACTTTTCAGGTGGCATAGCCTCCTGGCCAGACACACTTTTGGTGGACCCCACAGCGCTTCTGCAGCTCTCCTCTGCTTCCTCTTCTCATTGCTTTTTTTTTTTTTTTTTTTTTTTTTTTTTTTTTTGTGGCTGCCCACTGCGCTAGCAATTAAAATATATTTAAGCACTATGTCGCCTCGATATGGGCACTGATATGCTTAAGCATTGCTTTGACATTGGCTAATTAATATATTATGCATTAATATAGTGCTTGAGCCGCAGCATATTTATGGTCAACACCCCGCCCAACAACATTTGGCTCTGACGGCTTTATATCAAAGGAGTCACGCGGCCGGCTGACAGACGAACGGACGGAGGTAGACTCCGAGCCTGGCCCTCGCCTTCTGCGGCGCATACAAATGATCGCGTTCCCGTTGCGCTTATCTGGCTGGCCTGCAAAAATATTTAAATGTTTATTTGCCAACATCAAAAACATGCATATATATGTATATGTATATGTATATGTATATGTATATGTATATGTATAAATACATATGCATATATATTTATTTTTCTCTTTACATTTTTGGGCATGTTTTAATGTCATTATATAATCAGCACAAGTCGCACAAATTGCTGAAGCAACATCAGGCAGGAAGAGTTATTTGCGGCATGCAGAAGCATTTATACTCTCGTAGGCTTAGGACGATCCATGTATATAAAATGATTGCATGATGCATGATGAGAAATGGCAAAGCTTCCCGATGGAACTCTATAGTTTGAATTAAAAGCTGAAAACTAATTAAGTCTCTCAGATGACAAATGATAATGCCAATCATCTATCCATCTATTTAAGTTCTTCAAGACCAAACATGTTCTTGACTGAGTCATGTAGTTTTCGACTGATTATGTTCTATATAAATGACTGTCTCTTCCAGATTGGTGATAGCACAAAAGAGGGATCTAGAGTATAGACATTGGGAATTGAGTCTCTTAGATGACATAGTTGATTGAGGTACATTCAAAGACTGTAAAGGTTTATAAAGCAAATATAGATCATGCAGCTTAATAGTTCGTAAAAATTAATGATTAATCTATATATAGAACAGATTGTTTAACAGATGTACATATATATATGTATGTGATTTAGAAATCATTTAGATGAACACTTTGCTGAAACTTAGCTATAGACTTATTATATCCGGTTATAGCGACCGTCGTTATACCTGGAAGACGCTATAAACTATAAGCTCATATACATACCATCTGGGGACTAGAATTTTCGTCGCAACAACCATACGAACGCGATAAGCGGAGTCGTAATAGCCGGATTCTTCTGTATACAGAATTTAAATTAAAAATTTACAAAGATGGTTCTACTTTTATATAGAATACTCCCTAAGAATAACATCTAACTCAGGTGTGTTAAAAACAGCTTAAACAATTTAATTTTTAAATTAAAAATGTAATCAGTAATAATAATATATAATATAAAAAATATATCCCCTTCCATGTTGCATCTTAGAAGAGAAAACTCTAGTGCTCCTTGCTAGAGTATAGATTATAATAACACTAGGAATTTCTGATTTTAGTTTAGTTTCTTTTCTTTTTTTTGTTTTTGCATTTATTTACTTCTATTTTTTATGGCCCGAAAACATAATTGAAACTTAGTTTTCTGTTAGTTTCTTAGCGTAAAACATTAGCGAGCTGTTTTTGTTATGTTTATGAAAATTTATGAGCTTGTCGCAAGCTCGAAGCACGAGCACAAGCGAAGCTGGCAGCGCGGACAGCGGACAACGGACAGCGGACACGTCGCTGTCGTTGTAGTTGTAGTTGTCGTTGTTGTGATTTGCTCAAGTTATGGCCAAGTTATGTTATGTGGCTTGTGGCGAGCAGGCAGCGCTGCGAGTGCTGCGAGTGCTGAGAGATCGTTATCGGCGCAATGTTAATTTCCAGCATTTAAAAGTGTAATTAACTCAATTTGATGACCAAACAAAAGACTTAGGCAGCGAACTTGCTGGCTGCACGCTGCGCTCCCAAAAGGAAGCAGGAAGCAGCCCAAGCAGCCCGCAGGCATGAGAATATTTTCATATGAGTCACTCGACTCGGCTCGTGTCGCAGTTGAAACTGCACTGCCCAGAGTCGCCGTCGCACTTGCAGTCGCAGTCGGAGCTGGAGCCAGCACTTGACACGTATTCCTGGAACACAGCCTTTGCACACAGAATTCGTAATTAGCCCCGTCTTGTCCTCTGTCTGGCTTGCGCTAAGGGCTCTGGTTAGAAGAGTATTTATGCGTTCATATTCAATCGCATCGATCAATTGCCCACTTGCTCTCAGCGACAACTGGGTGGCCACTGGCCAGAGCAGAAGCATGCAGGCATCGAGACTATCCGACTACCAGTCTTGTGCAGCGCCTCAAATGCGACTATAAATTATTTTCAGTGTACGCTGTTCAGCATGTCTGATGAGCCATTGCCCAGGGTTGCCCAGGCTCTGGGTCTGGCGAGCGCATATTGTCATTTGTCATTGATTCATGGGTCTACATTAGCATTATGCATCATAGTCTTATCACACCCGACCCATCACCTGTGCGCATAGAAAATATATAATATTATTTGTATATAGGATTAGGTGTATGTGAGCAGGTACATTTGGAAAATCTTAGTAAGGAAACTATTTGGAGGATCTTGTTAAGGAAATTTTAGTGATAAGCTCTATAAGATAATCTTTTAAGACAATCTTAATATATAAACTTCTTAGACCAGCTACTTAAAAATTTAGATTTGAGAACTACTTGGAAAATTTGTATTGAAAAGTCTTTGTAGAGAAACATTTTTAAAAATATTTATAAAATCATTTCAGAGAAACAGTTTAGAAAATTAAATAAGTGAAAATATTTAGAAAATATAAGTGAAAATATTTGAATAAGACTATAGGAAAAACCTCATTAGAAGAAAAATCAAAGAAACTTTTTCGAATGTCTTACTAGAAACACTATTTTACATATATTATATATTACAATCAAAACTTCAAATTTTTATCATTTTAGGTAGAAAACTCTTGAACTGAGGTACATCAGATGCGACTGAAGAGAGAATTTAAAATGGGGTTTCCAGATCTTGAAACTTATCTTTGAAAATACGTAGCATGATTAAAGTAACACTTCATGGAAAGGTTTACAAAAGTTGCAGTTGAGCAGACACAACTAAAGCTTTTTTACTTGATTATTGTTTGATGGCCTGCTAAATCCATTAAAACTTTTATATTCAGCAGTATTATCAGAAGATTTAGTTTTATTCTCTAAAAAACCTGAACCGTCTCAACAGCTGCTCAATCACTAGTCCAAGGGCGATTTTGAAATCCTATCTCATATTGTAATTATGAGGTAATTCTAAAATTGAAGCACTTGAAATTTAGCCACAAAAAGTTTGATAGAAAATACAAAAAATTTCTTAAATCTGAAGACTTTTGAAAATTAAAATAAATAGATAGCATACCCTTCTGACCACACATATGCGTAGTCTGGGATACTAAATTTCTACCCGTGCAAACGGATTTGGCATTGCATACTTTAGGGATCAGTTGAAAACACAATACAATATTTATTCTCGAAATAGTTTCAGTTGCGCCAGTTCTCACAGAATTCCTCCTCTATGGTTTCGCTTCCGCTTTTATAATAGTCTTTATTAGTTATGCTTTGTTCGCTTCTTGTGGGCGTCTCCCGTATTCAGTTAGATTAATGTAGTTTATAATTGAAATTGATTATTAAAATATATAAAAATATTGTACATAAGCATGATTCAACTGTGAGTGTATGTGTGAGTGTGTATGTGTGGGTGAGGTAAAGGGATGTCATACAGTAAGCGTGCCGGCGCTTGCTTAAACAAAGATCAGTGATACAGGCAAATCGGAATATGCATTTATCTTACACTGGTATCAATTGTTATTGTTTTTAATATTATTGTTTTATAGTTATACATTGTTGTTGTTGTTTAGCAATGGCCTTTAAGCATACAAACATTCTAGTACTTAATTTTTCACGCATGTACTTGACACACATTTACATACATAAATATTTAATTAGTTTGAAACGTCTTTTTGTTTTTTAAATTTTCGCTAAGCAAAAATATAAACTATTTAGGTAAATCATAATTTGTATTTGTATTTCGTATATTTCTATATATGTATATATATATATATGCCTATATAGATAAAATGATAATAAAAAATTTATAGTTTTATATAATCACACCAATAAAACACTAAACATAAGCCTAACTATTGCTGATACAAGCAACAAATTATTAGAGACACCAAATTCAACGGCTGTATGAGGTGAAAGCACATTATGCAAAATACTTTGCGATTTCTCGCTGTGTACAAGGGAAATATGTATAAGTGTGTGTCTCTCTGTGTCTGTGTGTGTGTGTGTAGTTGTTTGTGTTGTGTTTATATATATTCACTTTTATACAGAATCGGTTGGCTATTTTTCATTAGTCCTGTCACATTTTTGAACTACAATTCGAGATATTTGGTCCTAACGAGGAGCACCCCCAACACGAAGTCTCAGCCCAAACACAAATTCCTTATACAAACACACATGCCAACAATCATAACGAGCCATCGCCATAGCTTTAGCGTAGCTTCGAATTATACTCATACAACAATTAACAGTCTACATCAAATTAATATACTGCAAATTAAGTTACTTGTTCAATGTGTTTGCGAGAGAGTGCATTAAATTTCGTGTGTGTGTAGGTTTGTGTATATTATGTTGTATGTGTGTGTTATATGTGTGTGTGAGTTGGTTTGTGTGTAAATGTTAAGCTATAATCTAACGACTTTGGCTTTTCGAATGCTGAATTAACCACTGCAGCGTTATATCGATGTTGTCCTTTTCCTTACACGAAATACTATAACAACAGATTTCACGATCCTGTATGCTGGACAGATTCCTGTAAATAAACGAAACTTTGCTTAGTTATATAATTATATAGAAATACGGTCAAATTACATTCGCTCAATAAGCCCAGTCTCATCAAGCGCGCCTGGAAGATCACGTTTGTTGCCCAGGACGAGCACTGGAATGCCATTTAATTGCGGTTTGTCTAGCAGCGAATGCAGCTCATTGCGGGACGCTTCCAATTTATCCAAATCAGCCGCATCGACCATATAACTGAAATGCAATATGAGCAAATGAGTCAGATATGGATGATGTGGCTAGCTAATGCGGATCAGTCTTACACAATTGCATTGACGCCACGACAGTAGCGCTCCCACATGGAGCGAAAACGTGGCTGGCCTCCGATATCCCAGACCTTAATGGTTACATTGCCTTTGGTTATTTTGCGCATATTGAAACCAACTGTCGGTATCATATCCTCAGCAAACTGGCCGGACTGAGGATTGAAGAGGAAGAAATATATATATTATTACAATAGATGCATAAGGTAGATTTAGAGTATATATAAAACATATCAAGTGTTGTTTAAAATATGATCTACGAGCAGGCATTATTAAAAACATATAAGTGTCTAATGGTGTCTATTAGATTCTGTTATTTTTAGATTCTTCACTTGTCAAAAATTCCTTGAAATGTTAGGTACCTGATCTTATATAAGACTTCTTCACTTTTAAAAGATTTCTTGAATTGGTTTCGTATTGAATCCTCACTTTCATCTCATTAGTTGTTTGTCGAAAATATGCAGTAGATAAATATGTAATTTATGTTGTCTTTCTATAGAAGTTGCACTGTGGTAGATTAATCAACTCCTATTTGGAACTCAGGCAAGCCAGACTTTACTTTATATCAATATAAGGCAAATGTTCCTGAACAACCCCAAGGCAGTCTCGCTTCTCTGAAATGGCTCGGGGCATGTGGTTTCAGTTAGCTTAAGAATTATATTTAGTTGACGCTATATGACTCACAGCAATGGCAACAACAATGACAACGATAGGAAAGTCACCCGCATATTTTCATATTTGCAGTCAGATTTGGAGCTCGAGGTGGAAATTATCAATGAATTGGGTTTCTGGGATAGGCAAACGACTCTAGCGCGCTGATAATGCCGTCATTCGAGCAAATACACAAATAACACATATTGATTAGCGCGAGACACAATAAAAATAAGTTCTAAATGAAGTTAACTGTGACAGTGCGAAACGACAGAAYGTAAAAATATAGTTGATAACTGCATGACGTTTCCTTCCTTCTTCTTCTTCTTCAGTTTCTGTTTCTTTTCTTTTTTGTTTTAGAAACAAAGACAAATCAATAGCAAACAGCAAAACAACAACAGCGCTCGATTTGTCATTTGCCGCCTCTCGCTCCTGTCTATTGGTTATTGGATTCTTTTCCTGGCTCTTGCATTGCCATAGCCTGCGGCACGCTGCTCTTTTGACCCCTGACCAACCGCTTAAAAGCTGGCGCCGCCCCATTTACACTCATCAAAGCAAAAGAAAGGTTTTTTCGGGGAAAAAATACTCACTGCAATAACATTGACGAATGTGGTTTTGCCTGAGAATTGGAGGCCGACAAGCGTCAGCTCCATCTCTTCTTTCCAGAAGATGCTCTTGAACCAGTCCAGAATCCTGTTGATAAGCGCCAACATCTTTATTCTGTTTTGTTAATTGCTTTTTCTTTTTTCCTTGCAAATAAATGGCGTATGCGAAACAGCAGTGATATTGTATCGGAACAAATGTAATCGAACTACTGAACAAATGAGCGATAAGCAATATTGCTAGTTCATTTCGTTCATTACTTGGTAAATATTTTAATTCTTGTTACTCGAATGTCTTCGAGTTATTGCGCATAGTTAACGCGCAAAATCAATATTAACAAATTTATTATCTCCTCTCGAGTAAAAGTCCAAAAACAAAACCAGCTGTTATTTAACAGCAATAACAGTTTACAGTAATCGATGTTAATAATGTATCGAATCGTGATGAGTGCCGATTCATAACTGTTATCTACGAGCCACCACAAATAGAAACATAAACAATCTGTAAAAATGGTAAGTAAACGTTTTCTTAGTTAAATTATTGGATATATATATTAAAACTGATTAATTTCAGGCAAGAAATGCAGAGAAGGCTATGTAAGTATAATACATATTTGGATTATGATCGCATTTTAATTATATATCTCTCTCTGCCGGCAGGACAACTTTGGCGCGTTGGCGAGCCGCCAAGGAAGTCGAATCAGGTGAAAAGGAGCGCCGGCCTTACCTGGCCTCGGAGTGCCATGAGCTGCCAAAGTGTGAAAAGTTTCGTCTGGAGATTATACGTGAAATATCCAAGAAAGTAGCACAAATTCAAAATGGTAAAGTGTTGCAGTTCCACGTGAAGCAACGGAATATAATCAAATATTTTTTTCAGCTGGCTTGGGCGAATTCCGCATTCGCGATCTGAACGATGAGATCAACAAGCTGCTGCGTGAGAAACGGCACTGGGAGAATCAGATATCAGCGCTGGGCGGTCCACACTATCGTCGGTATGGCCCCAAAATGTTCGACGCCGAAGGCCGCGAGGTGCCGGGCAATCGAGGCTACAAATACTTTGGAGCTGCCAAAGATTTGCCTGGAGTGCGAGAGCTGTTCGAACAGGATCCTCCGCCACCACCGCGCAAAACTCGTGCCGAGCTGATGAAAGACATCGATGCCGAATACTATGGCTATCGCGACGACGAGGACGGCGTGCTCATACCGCTGGAGGAGAAGATTGAGCGGATTGCCCTGCAGAGGGCCGTGCAGGAGTGGCGTGAGAAAATGGCACGCGATGGCCGCATCATCGACGACGAAGAGGACGACGACGAAATCTATCCGCTCTCTGGCCCAGCACGCGAAGCAGCCGAAGATGCCAAAGCACGCGCAGCCGAAAATGATCCACACGGACTGCTCGCCCCGCGCTTCACTGCCCACGTGCCGGTGCCCACGCAGCAGGACGTGCAGGAGGCGCTGCTGCGAAAGCGCAAACAGGAACTGCTGCAAAAATACACAGGAGTCGAAAATTAAAAAACATTTACAATACATTTCTCTTTTACATATATTGAATGTAATTTTTCGTTTGATTTGCGTTCTTGTTACTTATTTAAGCCCTTTAAAACTTAATTAGATTTCACAACTTTTACATTTTATACTTGATAAAAATGAAGATAAGTACTTAGTATGTAACTAAAAAAATATTCGATCGCTTCAATGCGTTGTCTGAATTTGTTTGCTCAAACAAAAATCGTTTCTTGCCTTCGGGCATAATATAAATTGTTGTCCGATTTAATAACGAGTTCGATGACCGCCAGACCGGCCACCGCCAAAACTACGTCCACCTCCAATGCCACCTTCGGCTGCTCGACGTTGTTTCATATCTGAAAATCGCGTGGACATGCGACGCAGCTCCTCAGGCACATCCTGCTGGGCCTCCTCCAGTATATCAATCAGCTCTTTGGCCATGGCCCAGTCCTCACGTGTGACGAAGCTAATGGATGTACCCCGACGACCGGCTCTGCCCGTGCGACCGACACGATGCACATACTCCTCTATGTTGCGTGGAAAGTCATAGTTGATGACATGCCTAAAGCGCAGAAAAAAGTTATCAACTACATCAATTACAATATACGAAATACACGCACGATATGTCCTCAATGTCCAGGCCGCGTGAGGCGACATCAGTGGCAATTAGAATGCGCACCAAGCCCGACTTAATATCCGCTATGGCCTGCTCTCGATCGCACTGCTCCCGATTTCCGTGTATGCACTGGGTGGAATATCCATTCAGACTCAAATCGCTAGACAGATCGTCGGCACGTGCCTTTCGCCCACAGAACACAATGATCTTGTCCGACTTGGTCATGTTCTCCACGAACTTGCGAAGCACATGGAACTTATCCTTGTCATCCTGCAGCAACTCAATCACCTGTTTGACGGAATGCGTAGCAGCCAGATCCAGAGAGCCGACGCACACCTGTATCGGATTTTTCATATAACTTTGCGCCAGGCGACGAACACCCGGCGGCCAGGTGGCCGACGTCATGATGGTTTGCCTATCCGGCCGTATGTCCAGCAGCACCTTGCGTATCTGCGGCTCAAAGCCCATGTCCAGCATGCGATCGGCTTCGTCCAGCACCAGATACGTAATGGACGATATATTGATTACGCCGGCCTGCACCAGATCATTCAAACGTCCAGGCGTGCAGATGATTATCTCAGCGCCACGTTCCACATCCGAAATTTGCATCTTGCGACTGCCGCCGCCATACACGCAAACGCTAATCAAAAGAAACAAAATAAAAATGGGATCTACTTTCGGGTTCTCACTTACGCTTTCATGTTGCGAAAAGAATACTTCTTCACCTCCATCTCGATCTGGAGGGCAAGTTCTCGCGTGGGCGCCAAGACCAGGACATTCGCACCACCCCGTGTACCACGCGGCGTACTCTGGTATTCGGTGTGGATCATGCCAGGCAGCAGAAAGGCGAGCGTCTTTCCTGTGCCTGTTTGGGCAATGCCAATCATGTCGTGACCCTGGAGCAGAATGGGCCAGGCCTGCGACTGTATGGGCGAAGGCTTCGTAAATCCCTGCTTCTTTATTTCGGCCAGCAAATCGGGATACTCGGCAAAGCATTGTTCGAACTTCCATACAGGATTCGGTATGGGCGCAAACACTTCGCCCTCCTTCGGTTCGAAGACATGCGAAACGCTGATGTTGTTGTTCTCCAGGCGCAGCTGTGCTACCTCCGCCTCGGACAGGTTAGCCACCTCGGGACATTCCTTGTAGAAATTTTTGGTCAACGGTGGACATTTCGCCCAACGTTCGGCCTGAGCAGCTTCCTGTTGAAATGTGAAGTTTTAAATTGGATTTTACGTTTTATACTTAACCATCTTACTGAGGCCTTGTTCAGTGCCGCCCAGTCTATGGTGCCCGTCAAGTCGCCATCGTCTGCCTTTCCTGAGGATGGTGCCAAGTCATAAATGCTTTGTCCTCCGCCATAACTATTATAGCTCGATCGTTCTCTTCTGTCGTTCGAGCGACCAGAGCTTCTATCCTCATATCGTCCAGGCTCCCGGCCACTGGAGCGACCATAGTCGGACTGACCATAGGATCGGCCATGACTGCCACCCTCCGACGTCTGGTTATAGCCACCGCCATCGCTTTGCATCTGCCTGCTTATCTCGTCTAACGCATTTCTAACGTTACCTTTCTCACTGCCTGAGACTGTGACCATACGTCGGCCCTTATCGACATCGACCCGAACTGAGAAATCTTGTTGGATTCGCGTTATGTTGGAGCCACCGCGACCGATTACACGGCCCACCATATCTGAAGATATTTTCAGTGATTTGCTGTAAGCGTGCTCCGCGTTCCTCCGAGAGTTGCCGTTATCTCTGTCATAGCTCTCACGCTGCTCTCTGTCGCGTTTTTTACTGCTGCCGCCATAGCCCGAGCGACGGCCACGAGAGTAATGATCATCATCATTCTTATTGTATGATTGAGCGTATTCTGTTGGTTTCTCAACATAGTTTGGGTCATCCCAATCTAATTCGGACATTTTACAGAGAAGGCAACGATCAAATTTCCAATTGGAGTAACTGCAGACTCAGCGAAAAAACGGTAAATTTCTTTGGTATTGGTGATAAAATGGCGCAGTTTATTTCGCGTGGGTTGAGAACGCAATTGGCGTAGTGCCACACAAATTATATAGGTTAATGAAAATGGTTAGCAGATGCGCTGTAAATACTTAATTTATATACTTACGATTAATGCACACTTCACCTAAGATTTCCGGTAGCGCAATATGATCAATGCACTAACCAAAAACAAAGCAAATCAAATGAGCGCCCACAACGAACATGAGCCAGGCCTGCCAGTGTTGGATTACATACTAACCAGGGCTGCATTTGAGAACGTCTCGACACTATTTCCAATGATGCGATATGTGCCAACACTTTTAGTTAGGCGCCAAGTTTTCAATTCAAATAAAAGTCGTTTGGTATTTTTTTTTGGTTACGTTTTTATGTTTTCTATTACGGATTACACTTCTTGGGTGTAGAGCCTTAATTTAAAATACTTACAAACTAAACGAAATAATTCAAATTGCATACAATTCTCTCGCTTTCATTCTCTCTCATCTACTTCCATTTGTTGTTGTCGTTTTTTTATATAAATAATTAAAACTAGAAAAACACAAACACAAAACCAAACAAAATTGCTCGCTCACTTGAAAAAAGTTTAAATATACAATACATACACATACATGCAATTATAGGTTTGAAAAGCGTGACTGAGAGTACAATGCATATATATATATATATATGCGTGTGTGTGTGTGTGGGTCGTTACAGTAGTTGCATAAAACTTAGAACAGTTTTGATAATATAGTATATAGTATAGATATAGTAAACATCTCTGTAATTGGGGATTTGGATTTGTGGACTTGTGGATTTTGGGCAAGTTAGCAGAAATATTTGCAATGCGCTTGTAAAGTTCATTATATAATTTTTTTTTTTTTTTTTTTTTTTTTTTAATATGATTATTTTTGTTTACTATGTGAATAGTTAAGATTTGCTTATGATCATAAATTATACTAAATTAAACATTACGAGGTTTTTAAACAATTTATAATAGCAGCACAAGATTTATATAGTTTGATGCATTACGAAATATATAGTTGATCTATTTTGTATCTGGTTCTGTGTGATCTAAGGTTAGATTACAAATGTTTTAAAATTACAAATTAGACTAAATATTTCCCCGTTTGCATTCTTCAAAAACTTTTGGATGCATCAATTGTTTTTTCCTCATTTCTTTTTCAGAAGTTTTCGTTTTTCTCAGTTTTTAGGTACAAAATATACACGCTCAATTCATTGAGTAGTAAGTGAGGCTAGCTATCAATCAATCAATCCATCAATCAATCAACCAATCAATCCATTCAATCATGCTCTCTGTATATAGTATATAAAATACGAAATTTCGCATCACTTAATTGTACACATAAGTTTTATTTTATTCACAGCTTTGGGGCGTCGGTGGCGTCGCCTCCGTCTGATGCATCAATCACTCGACGTGGCCGCCACCAAGTTGTTGTTGTTGTCGCCATTGGGCATTGTGGGCGCCAGCTCACAGCTGGGCGTGGCTGGCGCCTCCCGCGGCAGCGGACTATGCTGGCTGGCATTGTGTATGGATATGCAGGATATGGATTTTGGTATGTTGGGCGTGTTATAGCTGGGCTCCAGATTGAGCCGCAGCTTCACCGGCGAATTGCGCTTCAAGAGCCCCAGCGGTCGCGTGGGCGACAGTGTCGCCGCCGTCGACGTTGCAGCAGGTGTAACAGGTGCGGGCGCAGCAGGTGTAAACTCTTGCGATGTTGAAATGGAGTAGATGCCGCTGCTGCTATTGGAGCACGGCGAGTCCAGTTCAGTGGCAGCTGCTGCTGGCGCCGCCGCCGCTGCCGACGTGCAGGGCGTCTCGTCCGGTGTGACGGGCGGAGAGGTGAGGCGCGATGAGCAATTGCTGCCGGCAAAGCTGCTGGCGCCACTGTCCACATCATCATAATCATAGACATCTTCGTCCATGGCCTCGCTGTCCGACTTGGACTTGCGCGGCACTGGCATCGGACGTAACTCGGCCTCCTCCTCCTCCTCGGGCTCTTCCACGAGCTGACTAGATGCTGACGCATGGCTGCTGGCAGCGGGCGATGCGGATGGGGACACAGTGGGCAGGGGCGCCAGGGCGCCGCTCTTGAGCAGGCTTTGCTCCAGCTCGAGCAGCTGGCCCATGAAGTTCAGATTGGGCGAGATGATGGGCCGGGCCACTTTCACCAGCTTGTAGGCCTCGATCAGCGACAGCGACTTGTACCGCATGACGTACGCAATGGCGATGGTGGCGCTGCGCGAGATGCCCGCGTGACAGTGTAGCAAAACGCGCGAACCTGTTTTGCGTGCATCCTCTGCAAGAAACGGATCAGAAAGAAGAAGAGAAATGAGAATTGTTGAAAATTGAATTTAATAAAGTAATATTAATAATAATATTTGCTTATCAGTTGATAAGGCGCCTCAATGTACCCCAACAATTGCCAATTAGTAACGGCAAATGCAMAAATAAATAAATAAATAAAAGTTACAACAAAATTATTATTCAGCAGCAGCTCGAACAATTTTATCGACAACGCAAAATAATTGCTGCCAACTTACGCGCTCTCGCGCTCTCTCATTCTACAAACACACACACACACACGCACGCACACATGCACATAGATGCTCTTCCGCTCAATCGCTTGCGCCTGTATTAAAGTGAGGAGAAACTTTTTTGTTGCCGCGGGCTTTTAGCTGTGGATGTTGTTGTTGCTGCTGATATTGGCGCTCGCTCAGCGCTGTCAATATATTGTAATTGTATGCGTGTATTGCTCTCACGCTAGCGTGTATGAGAGTGTGCCTCTGTGTGTGTGCTGTTTGCTGTGCAATGGATGGATGAGTCATGCAAACGCTTTATTGACAAACACAGCAATCGAGAATATTTACACACACACACATACACAAGCGCGCGCACATTAACTCATAATTTACGTTGTTATTTTTGGGCAAGATAACATACGCCAGGCCAGGCAGCGGCGAATACGCAGCTTCGTTTAGCCTTTACTTTTCTGCTTTATACTCTTTATACTTTTATATGTACATACAATGTATGTATGTATGAATTACTATTGGGGTGGTGCTGAAATAGCAACCACCCTACGCAACATTTTTCTTGCCTATGGCTATCTAATCGCTAAAGAGGGGCGGGCGTGCAAGCACAGCCATGCAGTTGCTAATCAATGATTACTCATATATGTACATAGATACACGCACACACGTTTGTTTGTGTATTTGTATATATAAGCTTACAAACACAAACACTTGTCTGATTTCCAAACACGGCACAACTGATAAGCAGCATTTCGAGCCTTGCAGTTCGATTAGTCATCGTGGTTTTCGTCAGCGGACACTTCGCCAGGCTGGCGCCACCTATGGGCAGCCCTTTGCAGCCGCTGTTCACAATCGCCCCCTACCAGCAGTTTCCTCAATACGGTCAATAATCGTGTTATCAGTGATAAGAATTTTTTGCAACTAGTACATTGCGTATAAATCCACTATTGAATTGCGCCTGGAAATTTCGATTGGTTAGCAAAGGCAATTTATCACAAAACAAGCCACAGCAAACACACATACACACACATGAACACGCACACTCCATGATTTATCAATGAAACGAGTGCAAAGTGTTGGGCTGATAAGCGAACGGCCGACTATTTGCTGTTGCTGTTGTTGTTGYTGTACGTACTACAAGTAACTGTATAAAATAAGCACACACACACATACAGATAGGGAGACACATACACACAATATGTCTTTGAAGTGTGGCTAGGAAAAATCAAATCAAGTTAATGCTTATCAGCATTAGGCATTGAGAGCCATATGACATAAAAAACAAGTTAACAACGGCAACAACGATGATAATGCAATTATGAGTCCGCACAGGTGGAAAAACCATTATAAACAATAGTCATAAATAATAACAAATTATAACGATAAGTGTGAGCAAATAGAGTGGACAAACAGCTGAAGCAAGATAAGTTAAAATAGTAGAAAAATACAAATTTGCAAAATATAAATATATGGATATAAAATCTAAAAATTTAAATATGAAAATAAAATTAGCTTATATAATA